GGTAACAATTACCCTAGTAAAAAAAATTAAAGAATTCAAAAATCTAAAATCATGACCTAAATGGCTTGATGAACAGATGGATCCACACCTTTATCATGATAGACAGCGCTACCAGTACTGGAAGTTATCAATAGCCCATCAATCTAATTTTTTAGATTTCTAAAATTTGTCGAAAAATTTGGACCACACCAGTCCACTAAATATGTTAGAATTGATAAGTTACCGAACTGATTTTCTTAGTAGATATGGCAGTGGATAAACTGAGACCCAAAAGCAAAAATTTTACACATAAAAATACTGAACTAGATCCTCAACAAATCAACAGCAACAGCTTTATCTAATACATTTTTGAATTTACTTCCAAAACTGTGAATTTGAATGCTACATACTACTAGATTCAGTAGTAATGCAATGGCTCAAAACATGCCTATCAAACGACTCTAATTCCAAAAATTTAAACGGATTTTAAACTCATCAATCCAGAATGCCGGTCTCATAAAGAATGCTCGCCTCATTTTTCATTACTGTCTTATCCATTCTGGGTCATTCATATTTTAGCTGCTAGCAAATATGTAATAGCCACCTTCGTATTCTAATTTTATTTCAAGTAAGGCTGACATATAACGTTAGGAATCGCTTAGTTATCGAAAGGTCACTGCACACGACTAAAAAAATGTCAAAATGTTACCATAAATTCCTGACATTTGCAACTGCTGTTCGAACAATCCGCTTCTGAGATCCAGAAATTTTAATTAAACTACGAACAATAGGGTCGTAGAAGGGAAGTAATGCTGTAGAGGACCATCGCTCCGTTATCAACTGTAAACATTCCAGCACTGCTAAGTGGACCATCTGAAAATAAACGAAAAGTCGACTTGAATTTATTGAAATTTACGCCAATATCTCAAACCTATACCTGCGTAATCTTCAAAGATTTGTGGAGTTCCTTGCTATGTCATCATTAGGAAAAGTGTTTAGAGATTTCGAAAGTTTTTCGGAAATTCCAAAAATCGTAGAAATCAAAAAAATTTATTAAATTTAATAAAAGAAAACAAACCATATCTTCGCTATTGTCAAGAGAGTGTTGCAGCCGTGGCAACACTTTTAGCAAGAAACTATGGCCCAGCTGTTCAGCTGTTGCATTCTTCAGCAGTGCTGCCAAACCGGAAAATATCTGTCCTTCCGAACATAAATCCAATTCTAATGTATCCAAAGCAGCACAAAGTATGGGCAACAACTGAAAATGGAACAACCTTTAAAATCTCTCCATTATTAACAATTTAAATACCCTCTGTTGGTATATCTGAATATTAGCTAACCATATTTTCAATATTGTTCGGAAAGTTGACCAAATTTGAGAAAATCAAGATTTGAAGAAAAATCAAGATTTGAAAAAACTATAATCAATAAACGGGTGGGAAACATATCCAAACTTTTACCTCCACATATTTATCATTCATGACGGCTGTTGATGATGCGGCAAGCGCAAAGAGCGGTGATAATAAAGGAAACAAAACAATCTGTTTGTTTTGGGATTCTGAAATTTCCAAAATATTTTCAAAATTCGATTACTGGTTAAAAATGAATTAATTGACAACTGTGCTCTTAGAGATGTTTCTTTAACATAAGCCGATAAAATTATCACTTAATTTCATGACAGGACAAAGAAATAATTTCAAGAACACAACTACTGATATACTGATATTAAAGTCTTTTTAGTAAAAAAGACACATCTCTGATTACAGGAATCAATACAAACATAGATTCCACTGATTATTTATTGAAATCACTGAACCCTTCATCCAATTTTATTGCTTTCTCATTACTTAGATCCGACCAGAGTTCCAAATGCTAAACCATAAGTTTCCTGAATTTTCCCTACTTTTCTGCTATGCGTTTAATTCTAAAAGCTATTAATAAAGTAGCAAAATTTTCGAAGATATCTTAAATAATGGGGATATAAGCTCATGAATGTTTCCATCACTAATCACAACTGCTATAAAAGGCACTTTATCAAAGTGTTATGTGGCAACGGCTAACACTTTCTTCATAAAGAAGCTAGCTGTGTTTCAGAAGTTTCATAGAGGATGAAGTAATTTAAGACAACCGATGGAATACTAATATCATATTTAGAGTCACGCAATCTCTAAGAAAATTAAACAAGGAGAAAACATAGCCGATATTCCAAATTATGGCTAACAGACTGGTGTATGACCATCAAAAAAATTCAGAATATATATTACCTTTGCTTAAATCATTGAAATACTGGACATAGATAGGAACCAACTGACAAAATATTCTTTGCTGCCATAGGAACGTTGTTTGATATTTGCATTTTACCGGATCGGAATAACAAGTATTGAAGGTTAGCATATCCACCAACGTGTTTGTTAATACAGTGATATTTTCAGAATCGATGTGCTCAACAAGATCATGAAGAAGCTGCAATATTAAATTTCCGCTTGTGCCGTATAGAAGTCCATTCTTGATTCATTTTGCTTTCACATGTTCTTTATAATCACTCAAGACTTCACGAAACCCAAACTTCACTAGTCATAAGTTCAATACTTAGTTGTTACTGACAAAGGTAATAATTGTTGATGAATAATTATTACTGCGGTAAAGTAAGCAGATCCTTCAGGACGATCAATTAGAAGAAGCGCAGCACACAATCGAGCCTTACATTTGAAACTGTCCAGAAATTCCAAACTTTCTCGTATTTCTTCCATGTGATTGAGCGTTTCTATATAATTTGGTGATTTGTTAACTATTGCAGCCATCACTAATGATTTACACCAGACCAGATTATGATCTACAGAGGCCAAGTGTGCCAACACCTTCAGAAGTTCATCGCTGTACTGAAATCAGGAAATCTTGTTAGGTTTATAAATATTTACTTTAAATGACGCAGATCCTTTTTATTTCACTTATGTTTCACAGGAAATATCAAGATCAAGAGCAATTCTCACCGGTGATTGGATAATGTAAAGATATAATCCTGGTAATAAACTCGAACAGTTTTCCAGCTTTTGCCGGATCAGGTGAAGGCCTTCGAGATGAGTCCTGAAAGTGAAAAACATTCTTTTTTGAAATGTAAAAAAAGACGCTCAGAAATCCATAATTGTATATTCAGCCTGATAACAAACTCGAACAATGTCATCCACGTTGCTGAAATGACTGCATACCGGATATGTTTCAACACCCACCTCCCAAAAACTCACAATTGTTTCAGCATGAAATTCCTGCCATCCTGTCGATAATGTTAAATGAGTTGATCCTAAATACGAGCAAAGTACAAGGATTAAAAACGTTACCGATCATCAATCATTAGTCCAATTCGCTGCAATAATTTCGACTGCACTTCTAAATCCTTCGCTGATTCCACATTGAGTTCAAGTCTTACAAAGAAGCAGTCCAAAGTCTGCTTCAACAATGATTGTTGTAATGCGATACTTCCTGATTTGTTTTTTTGAACACTTCGAGAAAAATTTCTTGAAAGTCATCTGAGCAAGCTGAAACTATAAAACATACAAAAAGGACAAGCCAAATGCACCGCTAAATGGATAAACCGAAAACAGAATGGTCAGGAATTTACAAATCAAACGATAAGTAGAAACCATAATGAATTTTGGAATAACAAGCTGAAAGAAACCAGAATACGCTCGCCGGTACATTAAGAGTATTGAAATTAAAAAAAAAGAAAAAAGAAGAGTGAAAGAAGTATTCCTAAAAAAAGACTTTAATAATATTATACCTGATGTTGATGGAAATAATGCTCCAAGATACGACAAAGCAAAATTCAGACTATCTATGTCATGAATAATAGACCAAAGCAGTGGCGTTAGATGAAATATTTCTAGAAAATTGAAAGAATTTCGAGTTCTTGCTTCACGATTTGAAACCATGGAAATCTACTGGTAATAGCAAATCCGAAATCAATGTACAAAAAATTTTTAAGAAATGATAACAGGTATTTGATGAAAAACAAGAACGGAAAAAGTTAAAAATCCTCAAATGATGCAACCTTTCTTCTTATCGATTTCGTCTACAAACAAGTCTTTTACGATAGTCCAGTTAGCTACGGCGAAGGCATGAACAAACATCAGACAGTTGTTCCTGCAAAAATAAACAACTTAATTCTAATGAAGTTAAAGCTTTGAAAGTCTGCTTGGAACGAAATAACTTTGATTTCAACAATTTCTTTTTTCTCAAAATAATTAAATAACAAGCATAGCATATCATGCCGTTCAAATTCTGTTATTCTTTTTTTTTTTTTTGGAATGTCATATACAAGCAATTTTACATAACAAGGTAGGAATAATACATTACCTCAATTCTTTATTCTTATTGCAAACAAAATCGAAGCTTTTCCGCAAGAAAACTTTGCATTTCTCTAATAATCCATTTGTGCATACACGCAAGTTATTGCAAACCTGCAACAAGTAGAATTTCTGGAGCTCAATTTAACTATTTCATTCTTCCTTATGCAATTAAATGACAGCCGTCAAGGGATACAGAAAACATTTCTCATGAAACTACTATAGTAGTAATAACAACAAGTTAGATAAACAAATACCTCCAGCAATTTGTAGCGTGTAAGCTGAGCAACCTCTCGATCATATTTATCAAGCATTTCAATCAGTGAAATATGGCACTTCTGCAAGAGTGTAGCTGCAATAAACACTTTCACTTTGAAGATATAATATATTTGAACAAAGTTATAAGGTGTTTGAATAAATATGACCGTGAAAAAACTAGGCTTTTAAATTAGGACAAAGTTTAAAAGTGATCAAGCCAATAGCAAAAAATCATGCATTTTTTGTCCAGTGTTCGAATACTGTTATGGCCGGTTACACCTTCCATGCTTGATTAAAATCACCTTTATATTTTTAAAAACATACTCTGCTTAAAATCATCAGCTATATCAATCCAGTGACACAGTAACCTCAAACTGCTGTTAACAATTTCAGATTTGTTAGCAGCAGAACTGGCCGTATCACCTGAAATAAGTAAAATTTATGAAATGATTTTTGAAAAACAAAAAAACTATAAAAAGTAAAAGTAATACAAAGTCACGATGTTCGAAGTGGCTGAAAAACGGCAAAAATATTAAAAAGAAGGAATTATGACCTTTGCAGAGTGATAAGAGCCATGAGAAGACGTTTGTAAAAACGATTTTGAAAGATGATTCGCTAGATCTGAGCAAAATCTCAAAAAATGCTAAAATTCGGCCCGTTAGACCTAATTCGGTTTGCAGCACAAACATTTCGCCCTCTGCAAATAACGAATGCATCAGTAAAAGAACAACAGCTAATTTACTGCTAAACGAACTGTTTGCTGCAGTACTTTGTGTTATTAATAGCTGACTTGAACAGGAATAAAACGTTATAAAAAATAATTTACCACTGATCGCTGATACTTTCAAGTAATATCTAAATTTTATCACAATTAACATTCCATAGAATTGACAAAGCTATAATTGCCAGGAATTTTGAAAATCTTACTCTCAATAAATTCTTGGCACACGTATTCAATCCGCTCCCTTTTATCCTAGAAATATGCACACTTCAATATTTTTGCTGCTAAAGAACAGTTGAAATTTATTAAGAATATCTAATCTTCCGAGAAACATAGTCGTAAAATTGGTACCTTAATATTGCTTTCGTCGAGAGCTTTCAACATTGAAGAAATAGCAGCACTGATTGGTTCTGGTATGTAATCATCATGTGTACTTTTCGGCAAATTGAATAAAACCGATCTTATGCCTGCGCACAACTGATCAATGTGATTAAGCAATTGATAGCACGAAAAGACTGTACATGCCTTGGCCTTCAAAACTAAGATTAATGGAATGCAACGTTCCAAATTAAGACAGTACAAGCTCTTATGTAATGCAATACAGTAACAGAAAAAACGACAGAAAAAAAACAGAAAACAACTGAAAAAACGAATGAAAAGTTAGGTCATAAAAAAAAGAGAGAACAAATTAATATTTCTCTAATATAAAAAAGATACTGCATGTGACTTAGAAAAAAGATGCTGTACGATTTAGATCACAAAAACTGTAGAAATTAATCAAAGTATTAAATGTGAAAATAATATCATACCAGAAATGAGCAAACTTCCAATTTTGTATCCATCGAATATTCAACGTCTGTAAGTTTTTCAACAATCAACTCGAAGACGAATGGTGCAAACTCTTCATCGATAAGCAGACAACTTTCACAACCACTAACCAATAGTTCTTTGGTAATTTCTGTTCTTTCCTTTGAGTTCTAAAACATAAAACTTCAATAAATCAGTTGTGCGAGAAAATAAAGCTATAATATGGTGTTGTAGTTATAAAATGCGGTCAACATAGAGCTAGAATTTGAGGGCAGTTCGATAATGATCAGCCTAACGTGTGGAACATTATATTCAACTAAAATAAAATTGAAACACAGAAATCTAATAGTTTTCTTGAGAAGCAAAAGTTTTACTGACGTGGTTAAATTCAATAGGATAATAACAAGCAACAACGTCAAACAAATCACTTGCATGAACATCAAACAAATTTCTTGGAAAATTTCCTGAAAGTGTAAATGTAGAACAAGAGTAAAAAAAAAAAGCATCTGATAAGGTTAACATAATTTTCCCTCCTAATCGCTCAGTATGCGTATCATTTAAACTGATAGCATCGACCTTGCTCGATTAATTTAATATCGATTTCCGAAAACAAATTACTCATCAGAACTCACTCACCAGTGCTGAAATATTCGCAGAGAGTACAAAAGAGACGAAAACAAGAATGAGACATCGAGGATCTCGTTCTCCGGATATGGACGATATAAAGTAGGAAACAAAGTGCGTGTTTGTTGAAAGTTCTGAAAAAAAAGATCACAATTCTCAACTTTTATGTTCAGAGAAAAAAGAATTATAAAAGACTGTAAAATATTCCACCTTGTCCATCAGAAAAAGGACTTATT